GAAAAATAAAATCCCGTGACGCGATTTTTTTTTTTTGCACAGCCTTCCAATTCTCTTTCTTCCGTGCAAGCCGGGACCAGCGCAATACTGGTTCCTATGTCAAGATTCATGGATGCAGCGTTTGTCAAGATTCGTGGATGCAGCGTTTATATTCCTAAGACTGAGTGGAGAAGAAAAATATGTAAGCGAGGTGTGTGTCCGTTGACGGCACTTAAAAAATAAATGGCATTGATGGCACATTCATTGTCAACAGCGCGTGGCCGAACCGTTTTGACATGAGCCGGTAACCGTTATTTTTTTCCGGTTCAGTTCCGGTTCGGGTTCATCGCGATAACAATATAACGGTTCGGGTTCGGGTTCAGTTCCGGAAAAAATACCGGTTCGGTTCCGGTTTTCGGTTCGGTTCCGGTTCGACACCCTGATATATGTATGTATATATATATATATATATATATATTTACCGGGTGTTCATTTTTAATTCGAACAGATTTATTTAAAAAAATCCTTGAAAGTTACACTTATGCTGCTTGTGGAGGTGAGTTATACGGCCAGGGGGACATAATATAGGGGGCTAATCGTAACGATCAGTTGGCTAATTAACTAAAATTCTATAATTAACTTTTTAATTAATGAAAATAGACATATGGGTCCAATTAGAGACTTGCTCAGCGTCATCGAAAAGCACTAAATCAGTCATTTTCAGAAAGACTTTGAGCGCGAGAGAAGTGTAGTAGTGCACTGAAGTTACCACTCGTGGAGCAGGTACAAAGCTAGCGGTTGCGGCAAGGCGCCCGCGCGATTTTTCCGTCGCTTATCTAGCCCCAGCCTTGTACCTGCTCCACGAGTGGTAACTTCAGTGCACTACTACACTTCTCTCGCGCTCAAAGTCTTTCAGAAAATGACTGATTTAGTGCTTTTCGATGACGCTGAGCAAGTTTATAATTGAAACCATATGTCTATTTTCATTAATTGAAAAGTTAATTAACGAATTTTGACTAATTAGCCAACTGATCGTTACGATTAGCCCCCTATAATATGTCCCCCTGGCCGTGTAACTCACCTGCACAAACCGTATCAGTGCATCTTTTACGGATTTTTTTTTAATAAATCTGTTCGAATTAAAAATGAACACCCGGTATATATATATATATATATATATATATATATATATCCTGGCTCCGCCAATTCTTGGCTTTCGGCGGGTTCCTGGAAACTTGGATTCTTTAATTCATTGGATTAAGTACGGTTCATTCCTCTGCACAATTTCGTTTATATATATATATATATATTGTTACAACTTTTTAACTGGTTTAATCACCGCACAGAGAAGTCCGACATCTTCGGTGGCTGGCTTCCAACTGCCTCGCGCACACGCACGAGCACGACGAGCGTTCCCTTCGTCGCGTGCCGGTTGCTTCTCTTTTATGTTTTTTGTTCACTCCGCACTCAGCGTCTCCGCTACAATATATATATATATCTGTGTGTGTGTGTGTGCGTGTGTTTGTGTGCGTATGTGTGCGTGTGCGTGCGTGTGCGTGTGTGTGTGTGTGTGTGTGTGTGTGTATTGAACTGCACTAATCTGATAATACTTTCCTACAATTCTAGATTTAGCAAGGATAAGTGAGTATTGCTAAATTATTATAATGGCGTGTTTTATTGGTTTGCTTTTTATGCTAATGCTTTTTTTAGAAAAGTTGTTAATATGGCTTCATATATGTTTAATAGCACTCTCAATAGTAAATTAGACCTGAATTCGCTGCCGCAGTGGATGGAAGCTAAGAAATAATGACCTTATCAAGTTCGAAGGCATTGTTGGTAAGAAGGCATATTCATTGTTGCCTTGCCGTTTCTTTTTTCTATTATTAACTCTACATATAAAACGGTATTGCAAAAGTTTACTATAGATACCAAAGCTCGTAAATTATTGAGTGATGCCTAGTTTCACGCTGTTTTCAAAAAATTAAAATGCCGCTCACGTCAACACAATTTTTTTCCGTCAAAACTATTTTAGGGTATGCCACGGACATTGTGGCCGAAGGCCAAGAATTTTTTTTTAGAAATCGGAGGTGGTCGACCGCAACGTCTGGGACGTTTCACGTGGAATGAGCCTATTACAGAATTGTTTTCTTTTTTTTTCCTCTTTCTTTCTAAGCTTTTAGTTTCCATTAGAGTGTGGAACCGAATGTTTTATTGGTTTGCTTCGGTTTTGGGGAGCACAAAACTAATGTAGAACATATAAAATATCACAAAAAGTCAAGGACAAGAAGTATACAGAACAGGCGCTGATTTATATATATATATATATATATACACCAGGCAAAGCAGCACCACGCAAATGTTCTTAAGGGCAGAAGATACTTCAGCTGGAATGCTGATGTCCTCAAGCACGATCAAACCATCCGAGGCTGTTGCCTTCTCGGCTGCCGTGGGCACGTTTCCTGAATCGAAGCTATATATATATACGTACGTTTACTTTTCCTGGATAAAACTAGTTGAAAGTGAGCGCCTGTCCTGTATACTTCTTATCCTTGTATTTTTTGCGCTATTTTATATTTTTGCTAAGATGAACAAACAGCGTTCCGTACAAAACTAAAAAAAAAAGAATGGTTTCAGCAGCTAAAGAGATATTCATCTTTAGAATTCACTGATATTCAGGTACCGAGAAATAAATTGCGTTATTTAAATTTGATGGAACAGTAAATGACAAACTACATTAATATCTGTCTTTTCTTGATTTTTTTTTTGTGTTTTTAGTGTTATATTTTAACCTGAATCTAAAAGTTATCAGTCTGTTGGGTCGCCTAAGATACGCGTGATTGGTACAACTTTGCATCGCAGAATGTTCCAGCTGTACTCTTCGACTCTGAAAGTTATTGCAGTGCAGGAAATCATGAAATCGAGACGTCCTCGCAACATATATAGGTGATGACGATGCAACGGAGCTCAGATCAATAATGTTTTCGAAATGTCATGAAACTTTTAAGGACAGACCCTCTATTTTTTATAGGAAGACTGCGCCTTGTATTCGCATCGGATCTGGCCTAAAATAGCGCGCATCAGAGTGGACAATTCCGACATAGCCTGCCATTTGAGGTTTTTTTCTTTACAAGATAACAGTCGATTCAATTTGCAAGTAAGCATCATCTGTGCTATTTTTTTTTTGTTCATCATCAATAGAGCTAAGCAGTAGTTCATAGTCTACTCGACATGACGGCTACTTAATTGGTCGCTTTCTTGCCCTCGGTTTTCCGAAACTCATCCAGCCCATATACACCTAAAATTGTTGTTCATCAAATAAAATGCACAACAGACTCCTTTATGTTTGAGAAGTTGAGTATGCATGAGGAAGACATGTTATTTTAATCAGCTTAAAAAAAAATAATGTTTCCGTTTTTTTTTATCACTGATACACGTCCCTCTCGAAGATAACGAAAAAGAAGGCTTGAGATAATTTGGGGGTGCATTTACTTATCATTTATATACTTAGGTTGGTCGGCCCTTTATTTATGTTAAGTCTCCATGCAGTAACAACAAAATTTTTATTAATATCTTCAATAAATTTGACTGCACGAAGTTAACATAATGGCTTCAGATCGACAGTGGAGGAGGATACTCGAAAACACGCCATCTGGAAAGTCTGACGAACGTGTTTTTTTTGTTCGCTGTCTGGGCGAGCCCCGGGAAAAGTTTTCTTTTCTCTGTAAGGAGATCGAGTCCCTGGAATGGGTTCGCCCCGAGATAGAGATGGTGGCTCCGTAGAGCAGTGCGGTTCTTGCGCTGTCCGGTGCGCTCGCGTCGGCCCTTGAAAATCCGAGTGAGGGAGTGTGATTTTCGTGCCGGACCGTACCCACATCCGCAGCAGGTCTCCAAGGTGAACAGCCTCCAGTCGATGGACCAATGTAGGTAAGGGAAGTCGGCAAAACGGATCCGTAACCTTGGGATAAGGATTGGCTCTGAGGACTGAGCCGGTCGGGCTGGGGACCTGAAGCAGGAACGGCACTGCACCGGGACTGGGCGGGGCTCGCCGTTCACGCGGCGCGGCCAAGCCCGCACCAGCGTCGGGACCTTCCTGTGGAAGGTCCCGGCGCTGAACTGCTAGGCAAGCAGTGTTGCTTGCCTAGCAGCAATTGAACACAAACCGAACGTTTATCAGAAAAGGGAAAAACACCACAAAAGTCGAAAGCCCACACATCTTCATGAAGACATTTATCATTATTTCATAGCGTTCGCTCCTTTCTAAACTCGCGCATTGGGAAACTCATGCACTGAAAAGGAGGGAAAAAGAAAAGAATAAACAGTCGTTAGTCTGCGCCCATTCGTGTTCGCTGTGTTTCTCTTCATCTCAGTGTAAACTTATCCTTTTCCTTTCAATTTTTGGGCACGCGTTTGTTCTGTAGAACTTCGCAGCGCAGCACGTCTTTTGATGTACAACCAACTAGCCCAAACCCAAGCTTTTAGGGAGCATTCGTTTCAGTCTGCGTTTGTATTTGGCAAACGGAGCATAACCCGGAAGAGAACAATCATGATTATTCGTAATATCAAATTTAGGGTAGCAATCATTGTCAAATCTACTGATTCAATATAAACTGGCAAATCTCACTTGCAAGCGCAACCGCTTCCCCTGTAAAGGACAAAACACACTAAAATGCGACCAGCGACAAAATGGTGACGTCCTGAAGCAATCTCTGCCTTAGAGCCCTATTGGAAAGACCAGTTTAAACTGGCAACCAGTTCAAACTGGTACCAGTTTCAAACTTGGATATTGCTCCAGTTTGACCAGTTTCATACTGGTTGAGCTGGTCACACTGGTCATGGTGGTTGAACTGGTCACACTGGTCATGGTGGTTGAACTGGTCACACTGGTCATACTGGTTGAACCGGTTGAACTGGTCATGGTGGTTGAACGTGTCATGGTGGTTCAACTGGTCACATTAACTTGTCACGCTGGTTCAACTAGTATGTACTTGCCGTTGAGTAAATAATTCCACTGTGAAACGGTATAAGGAATCACTGCCATTTTATTCTTTCGGAGCGACCCTCCTTCTGCCCTGCCTCGCAACATCAGGCAAGAAGTCTTTTAAGATGTCGCGGACTACCGTCTGGAGCTCCAGGATCGGGCGACGTTCAGGCTCTGGCTTCTTTGTCCTCTCATAGTACATCAGGCCACCTGGAGAAATTGTAAATATATCTGCGTTAAACAGCTGTGCAAGGAAGAAAAACTTTTTTTTTCTTTTTGTTGTAATTGCGCAAACATAATATATATAATTTAAAGGAACTGGAGGGCTTAATTCCCTGTAAATGTTTTGAAGCACTAGAAATGCACAACACAAAGACAGAATTTTTCTTTCTACCAATAGGTAAGCGCAATTCGAGAGCGACCATGCATGACAAGTATTGTCAAAATGTGATCGGTACATTCAGGTTGGTGTGGGCGTAACATCATTTGAAACTTACAAGTAGATCTATCAAGGTCAAAGCATATGGTTTTGAACTCTTAACTATATATATACATAGCATTGAAAAAAATTGCTTCTTTTTTAATGGATGAAATCTTAACGGTAATATGCCACGGAAGAATTAATAGGAACATTAAGATGAAGGACAGAACGGGCACATCCTTCACTTACTTTTAAATTAAGTCAGTGCAAGTCTACAAATCATATGGTAAACATTTTAACAAAAACATTCCACAAGTGGCTACAGTGGCAATTATAAACCTAGGTTGGCAGTACCAAAACACCTGGCCAAAGACACCAATCAACCTAAATTCAGATTGTAAAACATCCATGACCATGTAACTAATAATTTTAAGAGCTGATTTACAGGGAATATGTCTCCGTCTATTCCTGGAAATGTGTCCATCCATTCCCGAATACAGAGATTTAAAGGGCCTCTCCAATAATTTTTTGACTGGTCTGAAACTTGTGCCGAGAGTGACCGCAGGCAACGCAATAACACTGAGAAACTACCGCATTTACTTGAATCTAACTAAGGTCCAAAAATCGCATGTGCGCTACAAACGAGTGTGACCAAAACTGCGCTACCATATCGCCATCGATATTCCAAAATAGCCGCCCCCATTTACGCGCTAAGAAGCTGCGTAGCCAGCTCCTGTGTTTCTTTCATATCAGCGTGGAAGTTCCCACTGCACAGACCCACCGCGTTCACCATGATGCTGGATTCAAAAGAAAAGGGATATTGTACGCAGAGAGCGATGGAAATTGGGCCGCATCACGTGCGATGGGTGAAAGATGCATGGTGCACGATCCCGACTGCCAAGGTTATCAAGGCCTTCAAGAAGTGCGGAATTCCTAACGCTATGGACGGCACCGAAGATGAAATGCTTTGGGCCGTTGACAGCGATAAGGAGTTGTCCGACAACAATGACGAGTGATGCGTACTGTCCCACGAGCGCTGCACCAGACCGTCGCCATGATGACGACCTTGCCGGCGAGAGACAGCGCCGTTCATTTCATCGCAAGATTGAAGCATTCGGAATAAACCTTTGTTCCAAGTGAGAAAAAGTTTAATTTCTGTATTTAACCTACAAAATCTGGCGCGCGTAACAATCGAAGCCATGGCGTTTTTTCTTTTTTTGGACCTCGAGAAAAGGGTACACGTTACAATCGAGGGCGCGTTATATTCGAGTAAATACGGTAACCGCTTTGCAAAATAAAAATTATTCGGGACACTATAAGCAAACGAAATTTACAGAAGTGGGCCACTGCGTGACGTAAATGGAGATGCCAATGGTAGGCGCAAAACACGCGGCGGCTCCTCCGCTGACGGATCCACATCGTCGCTCTATAGTGACTCTAGCGTCAGCTATCCTTGATACAGTGGTGCCTTGTGTTTCTTTGCCGCAGAGCCGCTGGGCGGTGGGCGTGCCGCCTCTCAAAGCCGCGTACGCATCGCCGGCGCTCAGCTCGCCTCTCAGTGCTTGCATCCGTGCATCGTCCCTTCATCGTCGCCCCCCGCATGCCGCAACAACCGGGGTCCCCACTCACTGAGTCGAGTTTCGTAAAAGTGCATGAGAAGAGAGAGCACGTGTGTACAATGCGTCGTCTGCTAGTTTGGTTTCAGTTTCCGCGACATGAATGCCGCAGGGCGGCTCACATGTCGCAAAGAGCTTGTTTTTGTTGTTTTTGCGCTTTATTAAAGTACATTTAGTTTTTTCCTTAGTCTTAGAGCTCAATAAAAACAACTTTTATAAATAATTATGAGGTAAGAACATTCACACTTATTATTCCGCGCTCAGGAACAAACTATTGGTGGACCTGGCCAATCGGGAAGCCAGCTCCGTTAAAGTCATCTGCCACGCACGTTTAGCACCACACTGCGCCCACCATCGATACAACCATTCCGCACCTTGTCAAATAAAAATATGATGCACCATTCTTCTGCAGTTTTGTCTTTGTTCCCCAAATCCCCGAACCACAGAAAAGGCAGGGAGCGCAAAAAAAAAGCAGAAACATAATTATATTGTTGGAGGGGCCCTTTAAGCAAAAAAAAAGAAAGCAGAGGGATTGCATTTGAAAAGCTTTCACAAAACATAATGCAGCATGCATGGCCAAGATGGCAGCACATTTAGCTGTCGGGCAGAGGCCCAATATTGGGCACCGGTAGTTCTTTTAATCCTCTGGTTGTCTGGAATGTCCCAGTTAAATATAACCACGAAAGCTTGTTTTTTTCTATTCTAGGAAATGTTCTTGGCTGTCGAATGTGTGTAAAAGGAAGCACATGGTGGCTGCAGGCAGATAGTCCTGGGTTATGGTAAGGTCTTACCAGTCACGCTGACATCGACACCGCCAACGCTAGTCGCCACCAATTTTATTTTGTTTGTGAGCACAAGTTCATTTATTAAATATTTAGTTGTCTAGTACTTCAACCTTATTATTCCTGTTAGTTTTCCAAGTGAACCTCAATAAATTTTTGGTTTTCCAAATAGTTTAAATTTAAAAAAGACTTGAACAAGGACAGCACATCTCTCAACTCATTGTTTTTAAGACATTTACCAACTCTATCAACTTTCTACATTATTACATTATTTGTTGAAAGTTGACCCCTTTTCATTCTAATATATTTTGACACTCTATGCACTTACTTGCAAGGGCCATCATCTTTGCGGGTGTCACCGGCAGCTTCCCTTTCGCGCCCTCTTTAAGAAAGCGCCGGCTCGGCTCTCCAGTCACGCTGCGAGCGCAGAGCTCAACAGTAGAGTAAATCGTCCGGGACAGGTCCCTTACAAAGCGTTGCTCCGGTAGCTTGGATACCAAATCATCTAGCTTAAGCTTGGGGACTTTTAGTCCACTGCCAAGGTGAACCTGCATTCAATAAGAATTTCCTTGTGAACACTATAATCTACTAATCTGGAAAACATTCCATCTAGTAGACTACCACAGTTTGGCAAAACAGTGAGTCTTAGTCACATTATCAAACCTAACGTTGAACTTCATAATCACACTGCCATATAACAAGATCATGTGCCGTTGCGGGTTAAGTGCACACGCCATTTTATTGTCACGAGTTCGCTTGGCCCTAAGTTTTAAAGAAAAGAGCCGAAATAAAGTTTTCCCGATATTCAAATAAAGACAATAACTGACCCGCCTGCATGTTTATGTTTAAGAAATACAATGAATGCAAATAAATTCCAGGAGTATTAAGGGCACTGAAATTCTTTTTTCAAGGGTATTAAGGTCTTCAAGGGACTGTGCAAACTCTACGTGGATGTTGACAGCACTGTGGTGGTGTGCGGTGCTCCAACAAACGAAGACTTCGTGGTGTTGGTAGGTAGCAAAGAACCCACCGTGGACACCGAGAATGAGAAAATCAATGAGGAAGAAGCCTTACACTACTTTTGAATGGGAAACCAGAGTCCTTAATAATGCTTTTGGTCATGAAACTTCCACCGAAGTTTGATACAGGAACAGAAGCTCCTGTCGAAAGTAGGGACAAACCACCTATACTCTTGCTATCCTCCGTTTGCTTGACAATTTCTTGCATACGAGAATACTTTAAACATACCTTCACTAAAATGCCAAGCTTTAAGAGAGGAACCAGCCGTGTTGACGCGGAGATGCCTCTTTGAAGGTGTAATTGTGGACGTTTACCTATACTCACAAAAAAACCTGTGACCAAGAAAAAAAAAGCAAGCGGACTGTTTTTTAGGGTGCTACTTGCCTATTTGGATCTAAGAACAGCAAGCTCACTGAAAATCTACTGCACAATTTCAAACTTCATTACGGGACTCGAGCGGCAGCTCTCGTGCTGAAAGACTGTGTTCAGGTCGGCCGTGCTGCGCGTATTCTGCTCGCGTGTCTTCTTGCTCTTCCTCTGGACTGCAGGTTTACCCATATGCTTTAACAAATGCAGCAGTTACGAATGAAAATGCCACTCATGCCTGGTCATGCAGTGCGCGACTACGCACACACGACCCGCAAACTCACGCTTATCTTCGCGCAAAGTCTCCAGTGCGCGACTACGCACACGCAACCCACAATTTCACACTTGCCTTTGCGCAAAGTACTTGAATCGGCAGCATGATGCTCATTCTTCGTGACTGTGCTTAAAATTAAGGTCTCAGATAATCCAGTATCGTTTAAACTCTGGCATTCTAACCTCGCATTTGAAAGCTGCAAAGCTGCAAAGCTGTTGACATGCCGAAAAAAAAAAGAATGGCTGTGAAGTTTACTGGCAGTTTCTGTTCCAGTCGATTTAGAGACGCTGTCACCTAATATGTTAAAACTTTCTAATCATGGAGCCCGATTTTGGTCAGTGGTGAGAGCACGATCTCAGCCGGATCGGGGTTCGTCTGCTACAAAAGAGGCGCGGTTCGTCTGCCACGAGGTGTCATTTGCTGACGGAACAGAGACGCCACTTGCTAGCAGATACTAGCTAGCAGGTGGTGAGATTATAGAGGAGATCGAAAACAAAGTTAAATTGGAAACCTCCGCTATTTCCTGAAGGACGCAATCGACAACCTGTGCATCGTTTAGAAATTTGGATACGTTCTCCTGTCGTACGTAACCCAACATCCACCCGAGAATAATTAAGAATTTGAAATGAACACCTACCTGGCATACGAGAGCTTTCATAATCCTAAGTAGGTCAGAAGTCCTCACCTATTTACGGAAGAGGAAAGCTCTCGCATGCGAGGTAGGTGCTTGTTTCTAATTCTTATTTATTCACCAGCGGATGTCAGGTTATGTACGACAGGAGAACGAATGGAATTCGCATTTCCAAATGAAGCACAGGTCATCAACTGCGCCCTTCAGGAAATAGTAGATGTTCTCAGTTTAACTTTTTTTTTCCCGACCTCTCCACCCGCCCGTGGGACATAATTAGTACCATACGGCCCACAATGGTGTCGATGCCTCATAGCAGACAAACCACACTTTTCCCTTGCGTTACCGGACGACGTGTCTGCTAACAGTATTTTAGCATCCCTCAGCGAGAGCAGACTCTGACGTTTCTCCCACCCGTGACAAAAATCAGTCCCCTTGGCCGGTTTGCTCATCTTGCAGTTGTGGCCAAGAGGGATTTTTATGTCACGTGACCAGCTCCTTGGGGACATGGAACTATGTAGCACCCTATGCCCCTGCCTAATGGTACAGAAATGCGTGTCGCTTCGAGCACAAAAGTTTGACTTTGCTCGCAGAAACTGACCGCAGAGGCTTGCAATTCCAGTCTAATTAACCACACCCTTAAACTTTAAAAGCGGCAGGTAAAGTTACAGCCGGAAAAGGTCAATATGCACCAAAATAAAAGATAAATCACGCAAGACAAAAGCAGTGGTGTTATACATATACGTCTGCGCCAGCTGCGCAAGTTCTGCCGTCTTGCGTGGCGTACTGGTAACGGTGGTGAGTCTTGTCATCGCTGCGTGAAAGTTTTGGGTTCAAATCGCGCCAACACTAAACACCTTTTTTTTTAGATTTATATTTTACACATGTCTTGCTTTTTTTACCACTTGCACGACTGTGCCACAGACTTTTTATTGTTTGAATCACCTGTTAAATCGACAAGCCTGAAGAAAAAAAAAGATCAAGCTAAGTTACTGCGCTGATAACATGGTTTCATGTTTGTTAAAAGGAAGCCAAGATAATGGTATCAGCATGACTTTCATAATGGCATTAGCATGACTTTCATACAAACTGGGTCGAAACAAACGTTGTTTCCCCAGCAACTACAATTCTATCTGTTTTTTCAATATTCAAGGTGCTTGCTACGACTCATTCAATAACAGAAGGCGCATATTTGGTCCTAACAGACACTGCAGTTGTGTAAACTCAAAAATTGAAACATCCACAAAAAAAAAATCTAGCAGCTGTAGTTGCAATGAGAAAGTTGTAAAACCAAGATAAAAGATTAAACTTTTACTTGCGTGAAATGCGATAAAAGTTTCTACATTTTGCTGTGACAACAGTTTTGTAATATTATGTACATATATATATTTTGTAATATTATTTTATTGTCATAATAAAAATAACAATATAATAAAATTAAGTACTAAAATAATAATAACAATAACATTTTGTAATACTAACTTATAAAAGATAAGTTGAGCAAGAAAGAAAAACTTAGACGCAGCAAGCACAATTTTTAAAAAAGGATCACAGTTAAAAAGTAAGACACGCGTAAAATATAATTTATAACATAGAAGTCCTATCATGCCACAATTCGAAGCCTTCCACGCCAAGTCCCGTCTCTGCTTTTGTGTAGCGTGATTTATCTATCATTTTGGCTCATCTTGGTGTTCCCCGGCCGCAACTTTACCTGCCACTCCTAAAGTGCAAGGGTGCTTTTAATTAGACTCGAATTGCAAGCCTCTGCGGTCAGTGTCTGCATGCGAAATTCAACTTTAGTGCTTGAAGTGACACGGATTTTCGCGCCATCAGGCAGGGGCGCTAGGTACTTCCATGTCCCCGTGGAGCTGGTATTGCGACATAAAAATTCCTCTTAACCGCAACCGCAAGATGAGCGAACCGGCCGTGGGGCTTGATTGTGGGCTCCGGGGGGCCAACCACTGCGTTTACTGAATGCCCATCTGCTGTCCAGTTATGCTGAACTGTCTACGCTAGCGCCACTGCACAGTCACGCTTTGCAGCACACGAAGCGCTCACATAGTGTTACGGGGAAGTTCCATGACTAGGAAAGTAACGAAGGACTCTAGTAAATATGGCCGTAAATATGACCATAAATATGGCCGCCGCTGCCGCAATGTGTCGTGGGAGCTGCAGTCTTTTTGCACGTGCCACAAGCCAGCTGCAAGCCTAGCCTACGCGAGCAAAGCACGAGCTGTCTGGTGTACTGCCATCAGCATCCAGTGAACTACAGTTATGGTGGCGTGATGCATGCGCCAACGATTAGTGAGCTCAGTCTATTAAGTTGTGCGACACGCAGGTGACGATTAGGGCCAAAAATTGGTCAACATTCCCTGGATTATACATGAAGCCTATTTCAGTCGTCAAACAAAGTTCCTAAATCGTCTTCATTGTTCCTTCAAAGCAATTTTGGTCACTTACCATTCCATCTCCTTCGATCAGCACTGGTGGTGCAGGGCCTGCACATGGTAGAGCGGGCTCTGGCAGCAGGAATCCTGCAAGCAAGGTAGTATCTTTGCTTAGATTCGAAATCCTTACCAATTTGGATACTATAATGAGTGATAAGGCGCAGCCGAGCTGGTTTAGCATAGTTGTAAACCCGAGACTGGGGATACGGACAAGGGACAAAACACAGAACGAGCTGGTTTACAATCATGATTTAAGACAACCCTTAGACAGGGGACACAAAAAGGGAACAGAACACGACGAAGTCTCACAAGAAACTTGATCGTGTTCTGTCCCCTTTCTGTGCCCCCTGTCTCAGGGTTGTCTTAAATATTCGATACCATACCCTGTTGCCACAGAAGAAAAATAGTAACAGCTTTGCCTCCAGCATAACCTTTCTATCTTTAGTAACACTTCAGCAAACACTCAGCCGCATACGACGGAAGGAAACGATCAGGAGCTGAAGGCGAAGCTTGTACTTTTCTTATGTTGCACCAAAATAGACACAGTATGTCAGCAGTATTATCTTGACTTGCACTCAGGTGTAGAGCTTATTTCATCAGAAATATTTGGGACAAGGAGATGGTTTGCTCCCAAGAATGGCTCTTGAAATCCACTAAAATGATTAACAGACTAAACTCTGTTTCAGCCAAGGAGGATAGAAGGGTAGGAGAGGGCATGACGTCGGCTGCGTAGCCTCCACAAGCCATGCTCCCTTGACGCCTCGCCTCTTTCTCATTTTCCTCCTTACTCTCCTCACTTACCATGCCAACGTGACCACATCACGTGACCATAGCTAGCCTTCGTCATGCTATGGGGTACTAGAATACATCACAGTCTAGCCTTCGATCTGATAAAACCTACCGGACGGAGCGCGCGCAAGCCTGCAAGGAGTCCTACAATCAACCATCCATCTCCCACGTGACATGTCACGCGCACCAATCGCCAGAGAGATCTGCGGTCACGCTGGGCACAAAATCGTTTAAACTGTTTATGACTAGGCTTCACCAATATTGCAACGTGCCCCCTCCTAGTATTTATAACCTCCTTGGTTTCAGCGAACTAGGCAAGTGAAAAAGATGGGCCCCAATTAGAATGTATGAGCGTAGAACATGACAATGCACAGTCAAAGTGCACTTTTCCTTGCGGATAGTTGACACATCTGCTGCGTTGCTCCAAATGAATCGCAAAATACTTTTGCCTTTTGCTAACCTGCGCTGAAAAGAAGTATACTACAGGCAAAAATTTATCCAAACGTGATACACGCTGTCCCTTTCCTAATCTTCAACCCCAAGAAAATTGCTCACACTAAGTAAAAATGGTAAACCTCCCTGCCCTTATACAACATCCACCGGTGCAGCTTGTGACACAACCTGCGCCTCCCTCCCTTTCCACATCAGAGAATGGTAAGGAGGGTGCAACCAGGTTTTTGAAGAACCTTGGTTTTGGTTTTGTATTGTGTAGTAGGTATCAGCTAGTGCATATTTATTTATTTATTTATTTAGTATACCCTCAGGGCCAAAGGCATTAGAGAGGGGAGTGGTTACAATCAAGAAGAAATTAAACAAACAGAGTACAGCAAAAATGGTAATACAAATAAACAAAAAATGGCATATAATCATACAATGTTAGCTAAGGCGTTCTTGAAGTGATGGGAGTCTTCGATAGTGGCTATTGAAGCAGGAAGGCGATTCCACTCGTCAGATGTGCGTGGCAGAAATGACTGAAAGAAAGCGTTAGTTCTGGCTGATGGAATTCCAACCTTATTAGCATGATCAAACCGAGATGAGATGTACTGAGGAGGTAAAATAAGTTCGTCGTGCAGATGTGAATGGTAAAACAATTTATGAAAGAGACTGAGACGAAAAGCTTTACGGCGAGATGCGAGAGATGGCAGGCTGAGGCTAGACTTCATTGAACTTATGCTCGTGGTTCGGTTATAGTTAGAAAGTATAAAACGAACAGAATTATTTTGGACCATTTCGAGTGAGTTTATTAGGTTTTCTTGGCTGGGATCCCAAACTGACGCGGCGTATTCCAATTTAGAGCGAATTAGTGTGGTGTAAAGCAGTAGTTTTAATGACGAAGATGCTCGGGCAAAGTTACATCGAAGGTATCCCAACATCCGGTTAGCATTATTAATCACGTATGTGGTATGGGCGGTCCAAGTCAGATCATGTGAAATATGAATGCCAAGATACTTGTATGAGGATACAGGGTCAAGGGGTATGTTATTAGGCAGTATTTTGGCAATTGGCAAGGTTTTCTGGACACATGCATTAGTTTACACTTGTTAATATTTAATTCCATGCGCCATGCTTCGCACCATACAGAGATAGCGTTAAGGTCAGATTGAAGGCAGATTATGTCATTATCGCAAGTTATTTCACGAAAAAGTACGCAGTCATCAGCAAACAAGTGAATGTGGGAGGAAACAGTTGACGCGAGATCATTAATGTAAATAAGAAAAAGAAGAGGACCAAGCACCGAGCCTTGCGGTACACCAGAGTGGACACTGCGCGGCTCGGATGTTAGATCGTTAGCTGAAACAAATTGTGAACGGTTAATAAGAAAGAATTCAAGCCACGTGAGAAGTTTGTGATCAAGGTTTAGTTAACGCAGTTTATAGAGCAGCAGCTTATGACAGACCTTATCGAATGCTTTGAAAAAATCTAAAAATATGCAATCTGCTGATGATGAGTGGTCGAGGATGATATTCATTTTATGCATGAAGGACACCAGTTGTGTTTCACAGGAGTAAGTTTTTCGAAAACCATGTTGCGCGAATGTAAAAAATGAATTCGATTCGAGAAAGTTAGCAAGATTGGAAAACAGAATATGTTCAAGAATTTTACAGGGGATACTGGTGAGTGATATGGGTCGGTAGTTGAGTGCAGAGGTCTTGTTACCTGATTTGTGGAGTGGAATCACCTTCCCGACTTTCCATTCCGCGGGTAGAAAACCATTGTCGAGTGACTGCTGAAAGATCTTTGTTAGTATGATAGAGGAATAAACACTTGTGCTTTTTAAGAATTTTGGATTAACTAGATCGCAACCAGGGGCAGAAGAAGGCTTTAATGATCTAAGTAGGTGTTCTACCCCAGCTGGCTCAATCAATATGGGAAACATTACTGCGTAATCGTACGAATGAACGAAGGGTAGAGAGGGATTCGCAGATTCTGAAAAGTTGCGTATAAAACATTCATTAATATTAAAACTTTAATATTACATATTAAAAGTTTCAGACTATAAAACCAAATATCGAGCACGTTGCAATAGAAATAAATTCAAACTATTCTCTACGAAGGAAACACCCTGGTCCACCGGTAAAAGTTGACTAATGAAAATGCTACATTTTGCAAAGATTGCAAACATCATTTTACCTTTTTAGGCTCGTTTCAAATAATACTTCGAGAGAAACACATTTTCCGCAGTGTGGGCAACAGTACTGTAATCATCGTATTGAAAACAGTAAAATACATTTTCTTTGCACCTTCTTGTATCCGCTTAGCATGCTTCCTAGAGCGAACGCTTCCAATGACCGTCATCAAAGTCGCTCATCGGGATGGCATCGTACAATATGGCCCCCATGCCTGCTGTCCATTCCGGTCTCTCGAGCTTGCGGGGCGACAGATTTGATAGTTCCATGGCACAATGGTGCGACAAAAGACTCGCCATTGAGAAACAAGGTTTGGGCTACGATGCACAGACACATTCAAGAAATTTCCTACGGGTCGGCCAGTCAGGGGCGCGGGAAACCTTCACTTGCTGTTTGTTGATGGGCACCCTTTGTCATTCTGGCTGCCATTTTGAATTGCTGTTTTAACACAAAAATATGGTGCGCATGATCACAACTCTGGCATTTTTAGGATCCATACAGCCCGTAAAGTTAATTACCACCGTAAACAAACTGTATCAGAAATCTGCTTTCTGCCCCTTTTGAGCATTTCTGTACTTGCCCGGTTGCTGGTCAGCTGACGGTATAGGAGCTTGGCCCAGTGAAGGTTGGTCGGTAGACTTTTCCGCTCCGGAAAGGTTTCCTGAAAACAAATAATACCGTGAAGTATCTCACCAGCGTGTCAATCTGCTACCACAGACGTGCCGGTGTGTGGTTTATAACGCCCATCTACATGCACCCATCCAGACTTGTGACAGTGGCCGAGTAGACGAAGGCATTGATTTTTAACTGCACTGACCGGCACTGGCACAGGTTCGAATTTCACCAGGGGTCAGCTTGTTTTTCCAAAAGAGCCCATGGTTGGTGAACACACAGTTTCAAGGCGAGTTTCGCAATAGATGTCAAGTAAATTGTGAACACGTTTTGAGCACATTTCAAGATAGGTTTCGAGTAGGTTTTGACATAGGACTGGCGAAAAGGAAGAAGTGCCATAAGCAAACTCTTACTTTAAAGGGCCCCTCCAATCATTTTCTTATTGGTCTGAAACTTGTGCTAAGTGACAACAAACAACGCAATAACAAAAAAAAAAGCTTTCCAAAATAAAATTTAGCTGGGAAGTTATAAGAAAATAAAATTTACAAAAGCAGACCACTCTGACGTAAATGGAGCTGCCAATGGTACGCGCGATACATGCTGTCACCCCTCCACAGCCAGATCCACATCGTAGCTGTATAGTGACTCTAGCGTCGGCTATCCTTGGTACAGTGTTGCCTTGAACTGAGGTTACGCAGGTGCACAACATTCCTTCGCCGTTAAGCCGCTGGCGTGTCAAATAGAATGGCCGCCTCTCCAAAGCCGCGCACGCATCGCCGGCGCTCAGCTCGCCTCTCCGTGCTTGCATTCGTGCATCGTCCCTCCGTTACCCAGGTCGCCCCCTGCACGCCGCGGGGGTGACTGGGGTCCCCACTCACCTAGCCGAGTTTCGTGAAAGCGCACGAAAAGAGAGAGCATGTAAGCATTTTATTGTATTTTATTTTATTGTAAGTACAATGTGTCGTCTAAAAGTTTGGTTTCAGTTTCCGCGACACGGATGCCGCGGGACGGCGCACATCACAAAAAACTTGCTTTTGTTGTTTCTTCTTTTCGTGCTATATTAAACTACATTTAGTTCTTAAAATTTTAACTCTCAGAGCTCAATAAAAATAACTTTTATAAATATATATGAGGTAAGAACAGTCACTTATTATTCCGCACTCAGAAAGAAACTTTTGGTGAACCTGGCCAATCAGGAAGCCAGTTCTTTTAACGTACCCGCCACGCGCATTTAGCATCCTGCTGCGCCACCATCTATCAACTGTTCTGCGCCTTGTCAAATTAAAATATGATGCACCATTCCTTTTTGCGGTCTTGTCTTTGTTGCCGGAATTTCCCGAACCACCAAAGGCAGGGAGCGCAAAAAAAAAAGAAGCAGAAGCAGAAATATCGTTGGAGGAGCCCTTTAAAGGAAAACTGCTTAGATACTAATTCAACTGCCATCAACAAACTTTAAGGTTACTGTTGATTTAGAAAATTTAATCTTTGGGTCACTTGCACATGCAATTGAAGGCCCGTTCAGACAGTTGCGTTCGGAGCGACCACTACGCTTACGAACGAATGCAACCGGTTGGAACAAGTTACCATAGCAACGAAGTGCCAAACGGTCGTTTTGTTCGTGTTCGTTTGCAACGTAAGGAGTTGAGCCGGGCTGAACTTTCTCGTTACGTTCGGGAACGACTGCAACGACGGACCAATCAGAGGTCAAGGAGAGCTTGGTCGCGCGCGTTGCATGCCGGTCTCCTTCTATCTGCGAACATGGCATCGGTGGTGACTGTCGATGTGGACGGCGTGGTGGAAAATTACGGTTGTATTGCAGACTATACTCTGTTCACCCTAAGCTGACATTGCAGCAGAAGATACGTGCTGGATGGACCAAATTCAGAGCCAGCTGTGCGGGATGTCACCGCACTCTCTGGCGCGATGACAATGCACGTTGATGTTGCATGTTGCTGGCTCCGATTGGTACATCCAGTGCATACCTTCCACTGCACTGTCAGCTTAAGGGTGAATCGAGTATATGGCACCTCAACTCGGTCATGCCAGCATTTTGTGCTCGCTCTCGTTTTTCTTTGTGAATAAATCAGTCTTCTTCCTTTGCCAGTAAGTGATGGACAGTTATGGTCCACGTCAGGCAGCAAACATATAAGCTCTTCCTCTAGATGACAAGTTTCTATTTACTACAGTGACTACATGAGGGTTGCCTTCTGTCAAATGGCACCGTGTATTCATCTGCCCAGCGCAGCATTTGGGCTTGCAGAAATTTACAGGTATTTTCGAGAGTATCAGAATTAAAATCGGATTTACTTTTCTCAGTTTTTGGGCAGGATAATCTTACTGTCTGTTATTACATTTGACAGTCATTTAACAGGTAAAAGCTCAACACAAACTTAAAACGCTTAAAACTTGCCTGTGTACGAGGTTGATGGCACTGGACTTTTGGGGACCTCCTCTACTAGACGACTTGGCGAGTCTTCTAAACAAAATTAGATGCACGGATAAGCATGATCAAAAGATGAAATAAATTTGTACACTAGAATCTTACCGAGCAGTTCAATGCCTTCAAAAGACGGTGGTTCAGCCAACAGATGCTCCTCGCTTGAAGTACCAGGCCTCCTCCATTGCGGTTCTGAGGCAGCTTCTGAAAAACCAAGTAGAAATTGAACGGCAATGCAGGTTATAATAGCTCCTTTTTTTAAAAGACTCAGTTCGTAATAAGAAAGAGAAGCATGCACACCAATTTTCATTGCAAGGGCCAAACCCAGCCTCCGGCTGTGAGCCTGTTCCTCGGCAAGCTCTTTCTGAAGTCTTTTTATTTTCCCCTCTTTCTCCTGGAGGAGATGTCGAAGTATCCTATCCTCTTGAGGTGCTGCCCTCGTCTCCTGGGTCTGGGTAAAAATACATTGCCACTGTTGGAATATCATAACTTCAGAATGCAAAAGTATTTAGGTGTCTGATAATTCTGCACCTTTTGCTTTTTCTTAAAATCTGCAGCAATGTTATCAAGCCTCGACCGCTTGCCAATCTCCTTCCGGTTCTTTTTTTCCTTTCGTCCAAGGTCTTGGACATGCTAAATTTTTCATTTAGCATGTCCATTTAGCAGTAGAAATATCAAATATTTACTCAAGCAGTGTCATACAGATAAGTAAGCTAGTAAGCTTTGCATGCACAAATTACTACGGAACAACCTCCACTACCAGTGAAAGCGACTGGAAAAATGGGCATGAGAAGTAATTTCAGTTCCTTATTTTATCGGGATACTCGCCGAGAAGCAGCTAGGCCTAACCCGGGAAAAAAAAAGCAGTTGCTATTTTTATGATTTTTGCTACAGTATGGACTGGTTCTGCGCTATGATTTTTACTGCGTGCCTGCCCCAAAAAACATTTCGCGGTGCGCATGGACAGAAAAAAGTGTAATAGAGATGTCTCTTGTATCCTCTTCTACCTCTGTATTTAACACTTTCCTCTCCAAAGTTCTGCTGGCCCTATCCTGGCATAATAGATATTTTCCAAACAGTATTTATTTGCCTTTCCCGGTCGCGTTTGCATTTAGTCCATGTGTGTGGTGTTCAACCATTTTTTTTAAGGACACAATGAGCTTAAAATGTTCTCGGTATCCTTGGGAGATGGCATCTTTGTTAGGTCTTTAAAGGGGCCCTGCAATCATATTTAAGCGTCTACCTTTTTCGCGGTTTCCATGTCTCTTGGGGTAACGGAGAGAGTAACTAAATATCAGTGCGTCATATTTTAACCGGACGACGCGGAAACCTCCTCCACCGACGAGGGCGACCCGCGGTACCGAAAGCGCGCAAAATGTGACGTCTTTGGTCCTGGGCTTGCCACTGGTCAAAGCCGCTAAGAGCTTTTTTTTAGTCGAGATACAAAATATAAGTGTCGCGAACCGTTTCAATTATGTATGAAAATAGTTTTTGTTCACTATTTTAGATCAGAAAAGAAACAAATGCAGTTTAGAAAGTACGGAAACGAGAAATGACCCGTCGACATACCCGTCACCAAGCGGCGGAAAAAAACGGCGCATACTAGAAAAGGCTAGTGGGATGAGGCTACGACAAACGAGGAGCGTAGAAAGGTCCCGGATGTACGCGGCGGCGCTGTGGTCGTATGCCGGCTCAAGAATCCGACCGGTTCCGAGCGTTCGAAGGCCTTCGGCGCGGGCCCTCTTGGCGATTCGGCCATTTGGCGGTGCGTCAGCGCGAAGTGGCTCCCGTTCTGAACTGATCTTTACCCCGTGTTTGCTGTCGTTTGTGGCCAATGAAATGTTATGCCGAATTAGTGTTTAGTCGCGCTGCAAATGCAATACGAGCTGCCCTGGCCGCCCGCTTCATACAGCCAATTCAACACGTGCTTTAGTGGCGCCCTCTCGAGCCGTCGACACGGAGTGCGGCAGCCGTGTGCGCTCGATGAGCTCACTACTCCTCCTCTAGTTCAAGGCCACTCAAGGCAGGACCTACGACGTCATGAAGGAGGTTATTTTTTGCTTGTTTTTGTAATTCTGATTTGCCTATAACTTTTAAAATAAAGCGAAATTTGAGAAAAGAAAAGTTGGATTAAGTTACTACGTTCAGTACGCTCAGGTTCAGTGAAAACTAAAAACCAGTCAAAAAGTCATTGCAGGGCCCCTTTAAGTCTAACCAACATAGTTGCCTGTCAAAGTTGACCAAATATCAACCAAAAAAAGTGAGTTTCACATTTATTAAAAAAAGAAAAATCTAGGAACACTTATTAAGTTCTAGTTTTACCAGAGTGTCTTTACAGTACCAACTATATTATGGAATAATTTTCTAAGATGGTAAAGAAAAAAGCAACGGTAGCAGAGGGTGTCAAACGTACGGCCTGCGACGACAGGAAAAACGCTAATTTCAGCCGCAGAATCTTCTACGCACCGTACCTCGAGAAGAAAACATACCGGAAACTTGCTCTTTATGTCCTCCCTTTCTTACCGAAAATATATCTTTTCCCGCAAATATAAAATTTCCGCACTTTTAGCCTGGGCGATTTGGGATGAAATGACCCAGTGCTACGCAGAAGCGCCCTCACAATATATATATATATATATATGTATATATATCTATATATATATATATATATATATATATATATATATATATATATATATATTGTTAGGCTCTTGGTGCATAGATTGGTTTAATACAATAAAGCAGTGGTCCTCAACCATCGATGTTTCGCGGACCCCCTGAGGATTGGCAAAGGTGATGGATGGCCTCTTTCGGGTGAGGGGAGGGGGAAGGTATTGGTTAAATATAATAATGATATAATAAATGGATTTAATGAAGGGCTAGTGTGAAGTAGACATCTCTTCATGACAGTCACAGGTGAAAATTCGCCCGGAAATGGAAAAATTCCTTCTCGATCTGAAAAAACACAACTTTTATTGCCGCGTTCGACTGATGAGGCAGGGCTTCACGGACCCCTAAAACGCTTTCGTGGACCCCAAAAGGTCCGCGGAACCCCGTTTGAGAACCACTGCAATAAAGAGATATTGACTAGTACAATTGTTGAAGCAATCATTTGAGCACACCTGAAGCGCTGCTGCCCGAGTGGCGCAGCGGTCCGCCGGTCCGCCGGCCACATAGCTACGCGACTTGGCGGGGGCAGTGCAGTGTTTCACTCGGGCGACGTCATCAGTAGTATTACAGCGGTTGTACCGGGACGGTATGACGGGAATCGCTTCATTGTCTGTTGGGTCAGCTGGCGAGAGATCCGAAAGGGGCCTCTGAATTGTTTCTGGAACTTTTCGCATTTTCCGGGCTTGCGAGAGGGTGTCCAAATGAATACCTCGTCATGAATGTTGCAGGTAATCGGTGTGGCGCTCGGCGCAATGAATAATTTGTTGCTCTCATGATTCTACTGTTCGAATGCGGGAAAGTTGGCCAACTTCTTTTGCGTGGATGGCTTGGGTGTAAATATCCAGAGAAGACTCGTCTGGGCATGGCAGAACGGTGTCGATAGTGGACAATGGCTCGCGTGCACACGGAGAGTAACCGGTCGTGGCTTGACGGCTGATATTGTAGGCGTAAGTAACGCACGGTAAAATTAAATCCGACATGTCTTGGTCATCTGTGATATGCATGGAGACAATGTCAGTCAGAGTGGGGTTGAACCGCTCCACGAAGCCATTTGTTTGCGGATGATATATGCAGTGGTGACGTTATGAATTGTGTTTGCAAGGCGGCATACCTCTAGAAGGCTTGCTACAAACGTCGTGCCGCGGTTCGTGATGATAAATTGGGGGGTGCCATGTCAGAGGACGACGAAATGAAGACGGGTTGCGTGAAGAGCTGTGGCGGCGGGTAGCGCTTGCGTTTCGGCATACCGCGTTATGTAGTCGATAGCTACAATTATCTGTGGATTCTTTTCTTGTGACTGGGGGTACGGACCGGGATGTCGAGCCTTTTGCGCTGATCCGCTTGGTGGAGAAAGTAACCGGAGTGGTCCAGGAGGTGCAATTCTGGGTCGTTTATTTGCTTGACATAAATGGCATGCGCGCACATATTTATGGATAGTACGGTGCCTGTCGGTCCAGAAAAGTTATACGGATCGGGCCGTGTCTTTTCAGCACTGCAGTTGTTTATGCGATAGAATACAAACCCCAGAGCTCACACTGGCTATAACCGGAAGCAGAAAATGACAAATTCAGAGAATGAACATCACAGACCCTTGAAGGAACATCACACCACCGCACGCAGTGCATTCCTCGCGGCAGAGTAACACAGTGCTTCACGTACCCATTGAACACTGCCACGAGGAGTTCAGCGAACAGAATCGGGAACATGGCGCAGCTGCGTAGAGCCCAAAATATGGTGCAGACGCTTTCAGGCAGCTGTGCCAGGCCGCCGCCATAACCCACCTTCAGTTTTAGGGGCGAAGCTCCTTAGGGGCTAGCCATGTCCGTATGTCCGTCCGATGTCCGGCGTCGGGTGTTCGTGCTCACGAGCATGTGAGCACGTGCTCCTGGGCTCGTGTAGGGCAAAAAAAAAAACTAAAGAAACCGCAGTTCCACGTGGTGAATGATGTTGATTGGGGCGAAGCTCTGGTGGTGCTTGTCTGCGTAGACGCTGAGCCCCAGCATGCCGTGCCTTTCGTTCGTTTTCATCCATTTCAGAAAGAGAATGTGTGGTATGGAACATGGTTATATCCAGTTCGGCAGCGGTGCACGCCGACATCGCTTCTAACTTTATCGTCCTGTGTGCAGATAAAACCTCAAGTTTCCCACGCACGTAACGGATCGGACGGGCCTTTGTCATCGAGCGGGAGCGATTTCGTCCTTCGCCGTGCGTCGCATCAGGACCAATCAAAGTCTTTGACATCAGCGCCGTCTGCAGCCACATCAACCTACAAAGGCGAACTTCGAAGGCCCAACTCATCCAGTTCGGCAGCGGTGCACGCCGACATCGCTTCTAACTTTATCGTCCTGTGTGCAGATAAAACCTCAAGTTTCCCACGCACGTAACGGATCGGACGGGCCTTTGTCATCGAGCGGGAGCGATTTCGTCCTTCGCCGTGCGTCGCATCAGGACCAATCAAAGTCTTTGACATCAGCGCCGTCTGCAGCCACATCAACCTACAAAGGCGAACTTCGAAGGCCCAACTCATCCAGTTCGGCAGCGGTGCACGCCGACATCGCTTCTAACTTTATCGTCCTGTGTGCAGGTGAGAGTCCGACAGACGTCGGTGTCAGTATCTGCCCGAAACTTTTTTGTGTACTGCTGCCGAACACAGCATTCGTTTGTTCTGTGGGTATTATAGTGCCAACTCTGTTTCAGCCACTTTGCCATCCGAAATGAGTAAAGACGTAAAAGAGTTTACTAAAGCCATAGATGAGCTTCGTAGGGAAATACGAGCTGAGCTTAGAGGACCCAAGGAGAGTGTTAACTTCTGTAGTGGCACTTGTGATGATTTGAAGAAAATACCAGACG